TCAATCGACATCTCCAGATGTCTTGATCTATTCTCTGGCCTTCTCTTCATCCTTTCCTTCATCACACTCTCGCTCCCACTCTGTAACCTCCTGCGTACTAGTGGCATCACGCCATGCTTGGGCTGAAATGCTTTAAAAAAAGAAAAGCAACAGAAACAGAAAGTATAAACGACAAGACAAAATATAAACAAAAATACATTTGGTCTAATCTCAATATAAAAATTAAGATAATCTCTTCAAAATCATTTAAAAATATATTCAATGTAAAACTGACATCTAACGTGACCTTAGTAGAATTAAAAATTAATCATTCAGCCTTTTAAGTCAAAACAACTTTTTTCTCACTAATGTAGATGTGATTTTGTGTCTAATTGTGTGTATATGTGTGTAAACATATCTCTCTCTCTCTCTTTATATATATATATATATATATATATAACAATATAAAATTATTGTACGTTTTGAATAATCTTTTTATAGATACAAATATTTAATATTAATAATATAATATTATTATAAACAGAGCATTTACTTAAATATTTGTATCTATAAAAAGAATGTATAAACATAAAAATGTCTTAATATATATATATATATATATATATATATATATATATATATATATATATATATATATATATATATACTAGCAGTAGAAGAGCCCATGTTGCAACAGTAAGAGATAGATTAAGTATCGACCATCATAAAGACTAAAAATAAATTTGAAAAGATTATTGTTTAAGGTTGACGGACACGCATGTCTTATTTTTTTTGTTTTTTTTTTACGAATTGGTCAAACCCAAACATTGTTTTCAATCGTTATGAGTCTACCGATTGAATAGAATTTTATTATAAACAATTGTCTTGTAAATGGAATTTTAAAGCATTCTGAATGTAAAATAAAGAAAAAAAAGTGTGCAAGACAATAAGAAACACTACCTGCCAAAAAAAATGAAGTTTTGTTGAAATCGGTTGAAAAATGTAGGAAATCCGATCCCATATATAAACGAACACACACACACAAACAACCTGGGTTTTATAACAAGCATAACTCGATATGAGTTGCCCCCCTTTCATTCAGAATCGTGTTTTATCGTGTTTTCAAATTGATTTCGGGCAAAAACAATTGTGTTTTTCCAATTCTTGGCACTGTCAGAAATACCGCAAGGTAATTTTACGCAGTCCTGTGTAGTTTTGTTGAAATCGGTTGAAAAATGTTGGAAATCCGATCCAATATATAAACGTACGCACACAATCTGCGTTTTATAATAAGTAAGATATATATATATGAAGAAAACCAAAAAAACAATAATACATCAACCGAAAATTATCGTACACGGAGGTTGTTGCAAAATGTGTTTGATTAAGTTACATCTCTCTCTCTCTCTCTCTCTCTCTCTCTCTCTCTCTGCACTCTTGGTCCCCAGCTAATTCTAATCTAAGGGGGAATTACACAAAGGGTTTGTGTATATTGATAGATCACTATGATAAATTTCATATAGTGATTACATACATGTTTATAGTTACCCCGTAAATTACGTTTCAATTTTTGAGTTCGTAAACTTCCATATACCACATGAATAAGAACGTAGGGGCCGGATAAATAAACACCAATTAAAGGAAAATACTGCAGACAATAGGTCATCACTGATCCAGAAACAAATCAGTTCCAATAGTCGATATTGCGAATCATGTGGCAAAAATATCAAGAAAATAACATATAAACAAGCAAAAACATAACCAGAGAATAGATTAAATAATTTTTAATTTTTAGCGCAAAGACACAGACCGACTCTGACCAAAACAGAAAGAATATAAAAGATCGAGAGAAAAAAAAAGAGATCGTGAGACACTTTCATTCAGAAATTACAAAATTAACCAAAAAGGAATCGAATAGCAACAGATGTATGCTTACCTATTTTTTGTGTAAATATTTTTAGATGATTTCATTAGTCTAGTCTTATAAGCCCCGCAAATAAAAACAACATCTATATTACGACATCGCTGGGCCTCGGCATCTTATTATAAAACGCAGATTGTGTGTGTGTGTTTGTGTGTGTGTGTGTGTGTGTGTGTGTGTGTGTGTGTGTGTGTGTGTAACGTTTATATGTTGGATCGAATTTCCTACATTTTTTAGCCGATTTCAACAAAACTTCACAGGACTACATAAAATTACCTTGTGGTGGTTCTAACGGGGCCGAAAATGGGAAAAATACAGTTGTTTTTTAATAAAATCAATTTGAAAACACGATTAAGACACATCGTGAGAATGAAAGGGGGACAACTCACCCACGAAAATGTAAACAAAAGAGCATAGCATGATGAAAAAGACGCCGAACTTGACGAAAACAAAATTTTATCGTCTAATGTTCATATTATTATTAAAGATGAAAGATCAAAGTATTTTGGGGGTATTTTTTTACATTTTTTAATCGTTCCTAGCACGTCTGAAATTTTCGTTAAAAATATTGTTTTTTTTGGTCAAAAAAAGGGTAGATAATCAATCATTTTCAATCATTTTTTTCGATTTGATAAAAAAGATTAAAATCTTACTTTGATATTCTTTTAAAAATCAATTATCATTTTTTCAAAACTGATTTTAATAAAAACAGAAATTATACTGTTTATTTAAAATATTTTGAACCAAGCTTAACTTAGCTTCTGCGCCGAAAAAATGTAATTTGAGAATAAAACAAAGCAGGTCATAACCTTTCCCGTCGCTTGACGATTGACGAAAGGCACATTCATGACGTTTAGATAAGTTACGGGAGAGGAATTCTTTCTACGGATGGAAGGAAGTGAAATTATTTAAGTGAAGAAATTATTTACCTTGTTACTTTTAAGAAAAACTTTCAGCGCTCTAATTTTTCATTTTTTATTTTTATTATTTTTTTTTGTATTTAGCTTTCATTTTTACGTTTACGATGCTTTATGGAAAATATAAAGAAATTAAAAAATAAGACTGTTAATAGTGAGATTAAATTTCATAAGAAAAAGGTATCTAATTAATTTAGGTACCTTTCTTATGAAATTTTATCAGAAAATGTACATAAAATACTATAATTTTATGTACATTTATTACATTTTACTGTGTTATTTGTATTTCCATTCATTTTATTATTAATTTTGATATTTCATTTATGGAAAAATATCATAACTGAGATTAATATAAAAATAAGATCATATAAATTAAAGTTTAGCAGTAGTTAAATTTCATAAGATGATACTGTTACTTGTAGGTACCCTTCTCAGTTGAAATTGAAAACTCAAATTAACTTCTCCATACGTGTTTCGCAAAAGTAAAGGGCTTAACAGCGGAGAACAATGCTGAACTCAAATAATGCAACTAAATTGTATTCTGGTTGGTCTTGATAATTACTGTCCGACTATAAACACAAAAATTACATTTCTTAATTACCATGGCTAATCTGATTGGTCCAAATTATACAATTTTCAAAGCGCGAGACAATGACAATCTCACACGGACATTTTGAAAGGTTGATGTTGCTTTTAACTAATGTTAAAATATTTTTAAAATTCAATTTAAACATTTTTAAAATCTTTTAAAAATTAAAGAAATAAGAAATAATTGTATTAAAAATTCAATTTTTATTGAAAAATTTTTTTGCTTTCAGAAAATATTGTCCATATTCATAAAAACAAATTAAAACAAATAAAAGCATTTGAAACTAAATAATATATTTGTTTTATTGAGTTTTGTATGTTACAATTCACAGCTGATTTTCAGGTACGTTGGCCAAAAAACAAAAAAAAAAAAACATGATTTGCATTCTTCAAAACCTTGTGCTTTTAACTATTGTAATCACTAAAACCGATGGTCTCGAATTTCTAGAGTTTTTCATAAAATTAGTTATGGGGGTGTTAATAAATAAAAAAAATTTCTGCCATGACATATTTATAATAATTTCGATCATCTGTGAATAGTTTCTGAAAGTTTCATTAACATCTGACAATTATTTTTATTTTTGCAAGATTTTCCAAATTAATGTGTGTAAATACAAAAAAAACGCGCTAAAATTATCTGTTATTTACTACCCCTTGTTGCGACAAAGAGAAACAAGGTTTTTAAATCAAAATTTAGAATATTCTAAAAGATGGAAAAATTTTTAAAAATAATTAAAAAAAATTTAGTCTATCCTCTTCATAAAAACATAAGCATTTTGACGATAAAATTTTGTTTTCATAAACTTTGGCGTCTTTTTCATCAGACTAAGCTCTATGTTTTAGCGATTCCGTGGAGTGACTTAGGTTAAAAACCCATGTTGTTTATGTGTGTGTGTGTGTGTTCCTTTATATATGGGATCGGATTTCTTACATTTTTCAGCCGATAAAACAAACATCCACTTTTTTTTTCGGCAGGTAGTATTTATTGTCTTGCACACTTTTTTTCTTTATCTACATTTAGAATGCTTTAAAATTCCATTTACAAGACAATTGTTTATAATAAAATTCTATTCACCAAGACTCATAACGATTGTAAACAATGTTTTGTTTGAATTTGGGTTTGACCAATTCGTAAAAAAAAAAAAAATAATTAAGACATGCGTGTCCGTCAACCTTAAGCAATAATCTTTGTCAATTTTATTTTTCAGTCTTTATGATGGTCGATACCTGATCTATCTCTTACTGTTACATCCCCGGGCAACGCCGGGCTCTACTGCTAGTTATAAATAATTACGAGAGAAACAATTAGTTTGGAAACATCATGTGATTCAAAAACTGGGAGGCTGTAAATATGCACTTCGGTGTTTACCATACGATACTTCCTCTCTCCGCGTCCGATAGAAAAATTCCCGAATTATCCATGTTTCGATGGAAAGTGATGCGATCGGAAAAAAGAACGAAAGAAGAACAGGAAAGAATGGAAACACAATTTTAAAAATATATAACAAAGTATTTTAAATATATTTAAACAAAAAAAGAAGTAAATCGATATATGAGAGGTAAAAGAAAATGGTAAGGAAAATAGAAACAAAGAATTACAAGGAAAAAAGAAAGAATAAAAAGAAATAGAAAGGGAAAGAAAGAAAGGTTTCGAAAAAGAATTCAAGAAAGAAAGAAAAAATACAGTGAAGAAATAATGAAATAGGAAATGAAATGAAAGAAGACATGAAGCTAGAAAAACAAATAATAAAAAAGCGCAGTAAAATATGAGAAGAAAATTGTATGTCTAAACAGGCGAGAAAGAAAGGAAAACATGCTGAAGCATTGAAAATATTAAAAAGCCCGCCCACAAATCTTGCTGTACCGGCGTCAGGGGAAAGTCTTTTCGAATCAGGTTGGCGGAAAAAGTGGCCAATATATCCGAAGGGAAAAAAAACGAGGGCGATGAGGTTTGTCCAGAAAAAAAAAAGTTTAATAATAACATTCAATGAACTTTGGAAAACAATTTTTATTTGTTCGACATTGGAATGCTTGTTAGCAAAAGAAAAGTGCATTTTCTCACTCACTCCAGTGGTTAATATTCGAGGCTAGGGAAATGAAAATCAGGATTTCGCGTTTTGAAATCCCAGCCCAGTAAGCTGCCCTCACTGCGATAAATATGCGTAACACATTTCTCCTGACCCCGTACAAAGTTTAGTAAAAAACAATAATAATTGTTCCTTACTTTTATCAAAAAATCATTTGCAAAAAATAGTATTTGAACACGATTTGTTCGGTGGCTCGTTCCCAAGAATTGGTGTGGTTAACTAACGATCCAAAGTAAAACATCAGTATAAATAAGTAAAAAAAATCATGATTTCAAATTTTGATTTTCAATACAGCCTCCCCATTTGAAGATACTAATAGAGCCTAATAGTTCTAATGTCCTGCAGATCCTTTATTTTAGGTACCTTCACTGAAAAGCAGCATTGCATGATGAAAAAAAAAACTACCAAACTTAATAAAAACAAATGTATATGCTCTTATTAAGAGAAATGACAAAGCACTTCCATAGCCATTAGGAATATAATCAGATCCCCAAACACTAATAGCAATAATATTTCTGAAGCAGGCATTTATTAAATAAATTGCCAAAAATATTCCTCTCAATATATTAAAAAACAAGCCGAAATTAAAAAAAAAAGCATCTATGAGCACAAAAGAGACCTCACAAAAGACAACTTAACTAATGCACTATTCATACATAGAAACAAATTTAACCGCAATTTAGATTTTAAAAATGCTGAACTCATAAAAAAAGAAAATAACTCATTCAGAAGGAAAATCCTCGAAAGTGCTACCATTGAATATTATCCAAATATTAATCTACGCGTTTTCCCAATATCACCTTTATTAACAGAATTACTACTCTCGTAAGCCAACTTACTTAACAAATATATCAAGAAATCAAAAGAAAATGGTTGAATCCGTCAACACAAAAATAAAACAATATTCCTACACCTGAAAGTATTTGACGTCATTTTTAATTGGACATAAGGACATTTTGATTGTTGTTAATAGTTATTTTTTTCAATAAATTCACTTTTTTTGCCTTTAAATGTCCACAGTGGACAAAACGCGTCTGCTAATAATAGTTTTCTATTGTCTTTTAAATTTTGAACTCTACAGACAAAAGTTCATTTTCTCCATCAAGACATTCATTTCTGTAGTGCACTGCTACCATCAAGCAGAAAATTATTTTTCTCCTGATGATGGCGATGTTGGCTGAAACTAGTCGAGAAATCTAAATGAAATAATAAAAATGAAAGAATATTAATATACAATCCAGTGTGTGTGAAGATTTTCATTTTTTAATATTTTTATTGTTGAAAACTTATATATATATATATATATATATATATATATATATTTTAATTATTTATTTAAAAATATGATTCCATTGATACATAAAAGTTATCTAACGACTTCTTTCCTATTTTCTATATGTTTTCACACGTATATATATACATATATATATATATATATATATATATATATATATATATACATATATATATATATATATATATATATATATATATATATATATATATATATATATATATATATATTATTATTATTATTATTATTGTGTATTATTATTAAATATACCAGAAAATTATACATTATATGTTCATTATAACTGATCATGATCTGTTCTAATGTTCAAATGCTTGCTTCAATTTCTGGTGAAATTAAAGACAAAAATTGTCCAACATTTGGATATATTTTTTATTAAGTTGGTTCAAACATTAAAGCAAACATTCGAGTATTATGATAGCTCATGATCAAACATAATAGACATTCATTGTCTGTTATATTTAATAATATATGTTTAAATAATGATCTTCAGCTCAATAAACTAATATATATATATATATATATATATATATATATATATATGTGTGTGTGTGTGTGTGTGTGTGTGTGAGAGAGAGAGAGAGATAAATACAAAACAGACTCACACGTATACACACACACACACACACACACACACACACACACACACACACACACATATATATATATATATATATATATATATATATATATATATATATATATATATATATGTATGTATGTATGTATTTCCTAGCCGATGTGTTTCGTTCTCTGTTGTATGAGTCTGTGTGTATGCTTGGTGGGTGTAAAAGTGTTTGTGTATTTTGTTGTCTCTTCAGTCATATGTTATAGTCATTGTGCCACATATTGGCACACTCAAAGTCTATATAAATATTAAAAATTGATTTCTTCATAGATGTGTACAGAGTAGGAAGACTATCTCTATATCAGCAAATATACAAATCTGTTGAAAGTAGCGTGGAATTCCTACGCTCTTTTGAGAGGTCAACACACTAATTGCTTTTGAAGGAGAACCTTAGTAAGATGTTTGAAGTAAAATTCAGAGATCAATCTCGATTTTCTTTGAATGTTAAACTGTAATTTGTATTGAAAAATATTTAGGCGCTTTCCCAATTACGAGTCGGTTTCTGTCGAGTGAAGAGTTCCGGTCTCTAACCTGACTTAAGTGATTGTAACTGTGTGCCTTTTAAGATGTATGGACAGAAAAGTAAATAATTGTATATGTCTTGATGTTCAAGTAATGGTATGAAATATACGACGTAGATACGGGGTTTAAAATGCCTCATAAGTAGAAATTTGCATCAGTCACTTATTCAAATAATTTCTTTGAGATAAGAAATAATATTTTATTGAATGTAGCGACTCTTGACCTAGGAATTTCTTAAATATGTTATCATGCTTCCTGGAAGTTGTACAAGATATAAAAAAAAAGTTTGCGTATCTACACAAAATTGGTTTAAACATTACAGCTAGATAATTAATTAAGGAAAATGATTTAATTTTGTATAGATAAACTAAAGTGCCAAACAATTGTAGATAGTAATAGATTGAAAAGTTTCGCCCTCTCCTAGTTGTGGAAATATACTCAACCAGAAGATGATAGGATGACGTAATAGGTAAAGAGGTAAAGTAACTGTGGTAGCAATGGAATGAAAGCAGGTTTTAACAAAGTTCAACTTTGAGTATTTATTGGGACAAGGACGATGTCTTTATTCGTATATATATATATATATATATATATATATATATATATATATATATATAAAAATATATAGAAAATAGGAAGGAACTGGTTAGGTAAATAATCCAAAGTCCCTTAGTATTTTAGTTATTATTCTTAAAAAATAGTGCTCGATATAAAAGTAGAGCATAAATATAATTATTTATTTAAAAATATGATTCCAAATCGCGACATAAGAAGTCCCATGTTTCAAAACAAGAGCCGAAAACTTCAATATGATTATTTAAATTAAATTGAGTTAAAATAAGCTCTGTTCCATCTTCAAGCGAAATTTTTTTTAGAATAACGTGTTTCTGAAATTTGCGTGTTTTAAAATTTGAAATCAAAATTTCCATGGTAACAGCTAGGGCGAATTGTTTAAGTTGGGTAGGCGGGTGTTGGGTGTTAATAATAAGTATCAGTATAGAGTTACTTTCGTAGATGTCAAGTCAGGGAAAGGTGTGGGTGTGTAAATTTGAAACGGAAGATGTATTAACCCTCGTCTAGTTTGCATGTCTATGGAGATTTTTTTATTTTAATTTTTTATGAAAGGGATTTGTGCATATAAAAAAACTGTCGTAACGTTTGTTTTTTGACGACTTCATAAAGGGTTATCTTTTTTTAGAGTATTTAAACTATTTATTTGGGCTATGGATTATGAAGGGTGTTATATTGTATGCATGTTTTTAGTTAATTATTCAAACCATGAATCTGATGAGTGGGCTATAGATTAAACAAGTTATTATATTGTATGCTAGTTTTTAGCTAATAATTCAAACCAAAAATCTGATGATGCCTACAAAAAACCGTTAACTCGTGTCTATTGTTTAAAAGATTATTATTATTTAGAAGCTTAATTATGTGCAATTTCTCATGGAGGCATAAAGGGCATGGGTCATCCCAAGTTTTACATGTTTTAGCTTTGTTTATAATTTTCCATTTCAACTTTAGGTGTCCTATTTGTTTCCTTCAGATGCCAAAATATTTAGATAGGGAAGTCTGATTTCTTTTGTTTATATTATTGAAAGAGCACTTATGCTGCCTCCATCTATCTTTAAAATCATTCTTCGTGGACCCAATGTATATCTTATTAGTGCTAGGGCTCTCAGAAACAAGAAAAGAAAAATCATTTGGTATACCCCTCCGTTCAACCAAATGGTTAGTATTAAACTAGGACAGAAATTCTTAGCCCTAATTTATAAACACTTCCCCACCAATAGTAAGCTTAGTAATATATTCAATAAGAACACCCTAAAATTGAGTTACAGCTGCTCTGAAAATCTTGAACTTTATGAAGTCGTCAAAAAACAAACGTTACGACAGCTTTTTTTTTATATGCACAAATCCCTTTCATAAAAAATAAAATAAAAAAATCTCCATAGACATGCAAACTAGACGAGGGTTAATACATCTTCCGTTTCAAATTTACACACCCACACCTTTCCCTGACTTGACATCTACGAAAGTAACTCTATACTGATACTTATTATTAACACCCAACACCCGCCTACCCAACTTAAACAATTCGCCCTAGCTGTTACCATGGAAATTTTGATTTCAATTTTTAAAACACGTAAATTTCAGAAACACTTTATTCCAAAAAAAATTTCGCTTGAAGATGGAACAGAGCTTATTTTAACTCAATTTAATTTAAATAATTATATTGAAGTTTTCGGCTCTTGTTTTGAAACACGGGACTTCTTATGTCGCGATTTGGAATCATATTTTTAAATAAATAATTATATATATATATATATATATATTTCTTGAAACATATAACCCGAATATACATACATATATATATATGTGTGTGTGTGCGTATCTGTGCAGGTATGTAGAAAAATAGGAAAGAACATGTTAAGTCAATAATCCTGGGTTCTTTAGTATTTTTGTTTATTTAAAAAAAAAAAAACAGTGCTCCATACAGAAGTA